CTCTCTCTCTCTCTCTCTCTCTCTCTCTCCCTCTCTCTCTCTCTCCCTCCCTCCCTCCCTCTCTCTCTCTGAAAGCTTCCAGCAGCTCAGAGAGGTTCAGAGCTTTCAGACCACTTGTTGCTAATAGAGGGATATTTACCCTAACGGGAACAGAGGGAGAGTGTAACCCCAGGTCACTGCNCTCTCTCTCCCTCCCTCCCTCCCTCTCTCTCTCTGAAAGCTTCCAGCAGCTCAGAGAGGTTCAGAGCTTTCAGACCACTTGTTGCTAATAGAGGGATATTTACCCTAACGGGAACAGAGGGAGAGTGTAACCCCAGGTCACTGCACTCAGCAACAACACTGACACAAAGACACACAGACAGCCCCGCTCTGCTTTTACAGCAGGGACAGACGGATGCACTGTAAAAAAGAAAAAAGAAAAAGAAATGTCAGTGTGAACCACTCGTGTAGTCTTTGTTCACGCAGGGAGCCGGTTCAGGACGGGTCACATGTGTTTTCTGAAAACAAAAACAGATCAGTTTTCGTTTTAAATCATCTCCTGCTGCTCTGCAGATTCTCACGCATGTTGCTTGTTTGTCCAAGCAACCGTCAGGTGTTTGCTATGTTAAGTTAAAAGCCCCTGCACCTGCTGTGACATCACTGATTGAGGTGTGGCTAAAATTCCAACAGGTGAGTTATATAAAAAATTAACCTATAGAGGCCAAAACAGTTTTTGTACCAGGCTGTAAACATGTTTATTTCTGCTGTAAAGTTGGACATTTTAACATGGGAGTCTATGGGGACTGACTCACTGTTGGAGCCAGACTCTAGTGGTCGTTAGAGGAACTGCAGCTTCTGGTTCTTCACTGTTGATGCTTCATGTTTCCTGGAGGTTGTTGCCTGGTTTCAACAGTGAGGTGATTTTCTTCTATTTCCTGTTTGTTGGTGTCATTTTATACGATGAATCAGTTTAAAACCATGACAATAAAATCTGATAATAAAAACAGGAAGAGTTTTAAATTTACTCGTTATCATAAAGAATTGTCAGCCTGTTGGATCTAGTGTGGGATGTTTTTTCACGTCTCGATTTTAAATTCTCAAGTAAAATAAAACTGATGGAGTTTTAAGACTAATAGTTTTTACTGTGTTGATACAGATCTGCTGTGGGAACAAATGAAAGTTTTGTAGTAGTAGTGTTTGATACGTTAATTGGTAAAACTGACCGTAGACCTTCTTAAAGCTGGCGCTGTTTTCCTGAGAATAGAAAAATCAGATTCTCTTCAGGTTCATAAACAACAAAGTGATGGTTGTTTTTTTTTTTATTTACTTTGTTTTACAGATAAATAGAAGTAATAATTCAGTCGTGCACTTGTTAAGATGAACATTTTCTGCACCGTCAATATTAATGATCTAATAATGTGTAATAATGTTTTACTGACCTGAACTTACTGTACTGGCTTCGCAGGAGGGGATAGAACTTCCTGTTTTTGTCGTTTACTTTCATTTAGAGTCAGAAAAGGCAAAAAGAAAAAGAAAAAAAAGAGAAACAAGGGCATTTATTAATAAAACTTCCATTTAAACCCAGCACCGTCATTGGCTGGGTGGTTGTCGGTTCATGTCCTTTTCTGTGTTCACGTCGGGTCTTTGTTATCTGAGGAGGCTGCTGAATTATGACGGCCAATCATAACAATTTTAAGCCGATGAAAAGAAGCTATTAAAACAGGCCGGGGACGAGGCCGGACTGGGTTACGTTCTGGGCGGGGACGGACAGCGAGGGCAACAACAACACGTTATGTGAAAAATAAAACAGATAAAAAGCGGAACACTGATGGAGTTAAACGTCCTGTGTTGCCGGTTAAGCCCCGGCTTTTGGGAAAACACCAGCAAATTAGCAGGAACAACACTCCGGCTGTTTGTTGTCATTCCGGAGTCAGTTATGCCTGGTGCTCGCTTCGCTGTAACCCCGCCGCGGTGACACCTATCTCTGTGTTAAACAAATACGGCGAGGTCCCGACCCCTCCGTGTTTGGATTCGCAGGCCGGGAGCCCAGACAGCCGCGCAGCGCTGCGACGTACGTATCAACACAAACCTCCGTACAGGAATGCAGCTGTGGCCACGGACCCCAGCATGACCCTGTGTGTGTGTGTGTGTGTGTGTGTGTGTGTGTGTGTGTGTGTGTAGGAATACATACATATTCACAACGCAACACACAGATCAGACTGCTTCCAAAACTCAGTGACAGAGCTATTGATGGTTTTATGATCATTTATATTTACTGGCAGGTTCGATGAGTTTGTGCGTGTGTGTTGTTAGGACTCGGTATTGACACCGATTTTCTGAATCGACTCGATTCCCGATTCAGTCAGAGATATTTCAGTTACAACATCAGTTTTTCTTGGATATGAATGAGATTCTCAGAGAACTGATGCTGTAAATTGTTCCTCTGACCTGGTGCATTATTAAAAACATTCTTGCTTACATTAAGAATAAATAAATGGATGCACTTTCTATTTAACATGACAATTAGTTTAGACGCATCTCAAGAAATAACAGATGTAATGTGCGTTGTTAACGTTCCCCTGTGCACCGGCTACACTGTGTATGAACCGGTACACGCGACTTCTTCTTCACGTCAAATCTAGCATTGCTTTTGTCCAGTTCTTCATTGTCTTCATAGTTTTGAAATCTGAAATGCAGCCACTCATCTGCCTTTGACTTCATTGGGACTTCGTCTGTCTCATCTCAGACTGACTTGTGTCGACGAAGCCGCATTGGAAACAAAATCAGAGGAGAAGCTGCAGTGCAGGCAGAGGTCAGGTGAAGCTAACAGGCTAGGCTATGAAAATGTAGCTCAGCTAGCTTCCATTTCTACGTGATGATCGGATCTTCTAGCGCTTAAAAATGTTTCTACATCTCAACAGGATTCTGCGAACTGTGGATATTTTATTTCATCACTTTGAGACAAAAAAAAAGTTGTTCTGGCTCCGGCAGCTCTACACTCACACTCACCTGACCAGATCACGTGACCTTTGTTTCACCTCAACTCGCTTGGAACTTCTGCGGAGATGGAATCAAAAAAAGTACCAGGTACTGTCGCAACTTTTGAGACTTTTGGACCCCACTGTATATTTATACATTTTATTGAAGTTTGCATAGAATAAACTACGAACACACAGCAGTGACGCACAATATTAACAACCCAATAAAAGCATAAACCTGAATTTACCTCCAGACAAACCAATGCTGTAGCAACAAATATAAAGTCTATCTTACTCGCTGCCTTGTTTTCACACCGTCCTTCTTCTATGAACAGAATCTGATTTTATTGTGAAATGATTTACAAGCTAATACTTATAAATAAATCTCTCTTATGCTAGTTTTGGTAACAAAAGCTTCAAATTCAAAAGTAGCTTTACTGATATTTTGACGCAGTATTTCTAAACCAGTCAACGTCACTACAGTAACAACTTAAAGAGGCGGAGCGTTCTTCTCACAGATCCATGCATGTTTGACATCGCAGCTCTCGGCTCTCCATCCTTTGGTCTCTGTGACGGACATCGCACAGTGTCGGCTGCCACCAGGGGGCAGTATCCAGGAGCTGGGAGAGGAACGCGGTAGTTAGATCGTGACTGACAGAGTTTATGATCAGTGGTATTTAGGACTGCGTCTTACTCTTCGGTCTCTTCATGTCCGTTGATCCACTTCCAGCTGCCGTCTTCAACTCTGAGGCCGATCCAGAAGCCGTTGGATCCGTGGCTGGTCAAATTGCTGTTGTAGATGAATTCCTAATGATCACACAGAGAGAGAGGTCACACAAGTTCAAGCATCTTTCATGTGTTTTACTGAAGCTTTTACTCTGACTCTGCTAAAAGACGTAGATTATAGAGCAAAAAGAAACACGCGTTCACTGATGGTGCAGTTTTCTGGTTGCAGTGCGTTGGGCTCTCTGGGCCACTGTGGAAATCAGGTGTGTACAGCCTTAATCACCTTTTCCTCCGGAGAGTCTATAACAATCACGTCTGCGTTCCTTCCTCTGCAGTCGTCTCGAGCGTCCTCCCAGGTCTTCAGATCAGGAGGGTCCTGGTGATCGATCGCATAGCAGCTGGACAGGAAGTGAATCCATCCAGTCTGACAGGGGTCGGTCTGTCTCTCTGAGAGAAACAAGAGACCGTCACTGATTACTGTACTGTGACATGATCACTGGTCAGTCCCTCCAGAAAGTTACAACGTCTCGATCACAATAATTAATGCAAATTCAACCAATCCCTGTGAATATTGTGCAACCTTTTAATTTTTGTCCAATCTCTGCAACTTTTCCACAAATTTGATCAAAAATCTTCAGTTTCCTACGAGAGCACGAGATTGCACGAGTCTCTCCGCAAAACCTCGATGTATGTCACCAAACGCACTTCCTCGTTTGTTGGTTTTGAAGCATGTTGTGAAGCTGCAGACGTATGTGACATATGTGACGTCTCACATTTACCAACTGTTATGTGCCAGGCAAGGGCAGGCTGTTTGTTTTTGTTTTCTCCCTCTCCCTCTCTCCCTCACTTGGTTTCCCTCCAGGTGCTGATTGGTGATTGGGCTCCACCTGAGCAGACTAGTGGAGGATGGCTTATTGAGCTCCTGGCTGTCCCAGTGGCCAATCATCTGCCTTGAGTCCTCCAATAAAAGGGGAACCTGAATGAGGAGATTTCTCTCTCCTTTTGCCTGATAGTGATCAGCCTGCCAGTTGTGTTTATGGATTTAAGGGATGTACTGAAGGTATGTGGTGGGAGGAAGGAGTTAGGTAAGTTGGGGTACCCTGTACATCTCAACACACAGTTTTCCTTTGTCTAGAAACATTAGGTTAGTGGTTGGTGCCACCCGCTGTATTGTTTTGGAGGCTCTTTTCTTAGATTAGGTAGATAGGTTTTCTTTTGTGTGTTTTTGTTTCAGTAGATGAAGATAGCTGAGGCCTCATTTTGTTTTATTGGGTTCATTTCTTTGGCACACCACCTTTGTCCCTTCCTCCCCCACATTGGACTTCCTTGTTGAGACCTTCAGGTTGCAATAAACTACCTTCAAGTGCTCACTGACTCAGTTTTAATTCTTGATTTGTCACGTTACGGTTCCTGTCACCCCCAGCTCCAACTAAGGGACGTAACACCAACAAACATCACAGTTAAAGACCTTGTGAAGACGTTCAAAGATAGCTTTAAATAGCTTTGTAGCGCTGCAACATTGTGGTGGAACCACAAGTGCTGCTTTTACTCTCCAGATGCAATAAAATATCTACAGTTCAAATAATCTGGTTTATATTTATCTACATTTTAAGAGCTTAAAGATCCGATCATCACTGAAGAGTCATGTCATGCAGAGAGCTGATAAAAAAACTAATGGTATTTAAGGTGTATTGATTGATTTCCAAACATCAATCACGCATCAAGTAACACTCAGGAAAACCTTCCATCTTAAATGATGCCGGTAGAAGTTAATTAGTAAAGATGGAAAGACTGAGAACATCCTGTTTTATTAGCAGAAATCGTGGGGTCTAGTTCTCCTGCACTTTCATTGCAAAAAACAACTAAAAACGTCGCAACTTTCATTGCAATTTTTAAGAAAAGCTGCCGCGAAAATCCTGGAGGGACTGACTGGTTATTTCTGGAGCTGGATGAAGCTTACATACTTTTTCTGTTGTCATATCTCCACCAACGTGACGAAAGAGTGTAGGGTTGGCTGTTCCACCCTGTTGTTCTAGGTGTTATCGAGTGTTGAGGCACTGGTGTTGTAGTAATCCTGTTTTCCACTCTCAGCCGGTGGTTTTCCTCTCTCAGCCGGTGGTTTTCACTCATGAGGTTTGTGATGTTGTCCTCTAAGACTCTGTATGTTTGTCTCAGTTCGTTTATCTGGACTTCCAGATCCTTCTGTTCAGTCTCATTGCTCAGTTTGGTGGAAATGACATACGTAACTGAAGAACAGGAAGATGCAGAGAAAGAAAGAGAAAGGAAATGAATCTTCATCTGTCCTCGGCTCTGTTCCCGGAGAACATGCAGTGACTTGGGTTTATACTCACAGTGGATCCGGAGAGCCATGATCACCAACAGTATCCCCCAACACATGGCCACAGGTGACCAGGACTTGGCAAAGGAGAGCAACTTCTTATCTGATGGGAACATAAGACTCTGATCAGCTTATATTCAGCCATATATTGATTTGGATTGATAGATATCTGTAGCTCAAACTGTTTTCTGTTTAATCAAAGTAAATTAGTAGATAGTGATAATCAGATACCTGACGCCGGGGGGGCTGGGACGTCATTCACAGTGCACGTTGCTAAATTCACATAATCAGCCTCCTCATCCTCAAGCTCCTCTGAAACAACGCAGATCAAATACAAAAAGAATAATTAAAATATACTGAATTATTTTTTACAGTTTCCCAAACGTATTGAGCAGAATTCAGAAATCAAAATGCAAAAGATGGTTTTAAACATTTAAAAAACATTTTCTTGTTCGTCATCAGGCAGCAGGAACGGCGTCAGACAGTGAGGAAAAGACAGAACGATATTTCTCTGCAACAGCCAGTACGTTTCAGGAGGAATTCAGCAAATCTGCAAACTGAGGAGTTACAGCACTTGGTTGAGGTGTAGAGAAAGATCATGGCTGTAGTTAAATATCTAAAAGAGACCCAACGTGTTTAGATTTTTTTTCAAACATGGAGACAAATCTCAGCCTCAAAGTCCTGAACGAGAATCAAGTTAATTCCTCAGAAACAGAGTTGGACGAAAGGTGGAGGGAAATCTTACCTGCAGACACAGAAACAGCAGGATTATGAGTCTCTGTCAGCTCTTTGGATTTCTTCTTCATCTTGAACCATCTGTGTGACACGAGAGCTGTGGGCTGTTTTATTCTGAGCCTCAGACAGTTGGGGAGGCGTCAGTTGGTTTGATTCATGTGTTGTTAAATTAATCTTCTGCTTTGAGGTTGTGATGGTGGTCTTACATCAAAACTCTATAATAGATGATTGTGTGATAACATGAATATTCTTTTCTGAGGAAAGATGACAAAGTAATGTTTGTATCCAGACGGATGCTCAGTCACTTTTCACATTTATTCTGCATTAAAAACCTCCATGCATCCGCTCTTCTTCTTGCCCTGGGTGCATCTTCAGTTCTGCTTAGTGATTGTGACAATTTTAGTCGGTTCACACCATGATGGTGTAACAGGAAGTCTGTTTAAAGATGTTCAAACCACGCTGCTGCTGCATTATAATCACGTACATTTCTTCTTTTTCTGTTGTCTCTAACTAATAATTATGATACGTCCCTTCCTGATGTGGCCGAGACACAACTACATCCTCCCCGAGTCCCAGGTCGCCACAGGAACAGAGACTAGTGGATGTGGGAGCGTGTCTATGTTCCCACAGCCCTATGTTAAGAAATATGGCACCATAGGGTTTCCTTTTGAGAAAAATCTTAGGCCTTGTCCACATTAACCCGGGTAAATATAAAAATGCACATTCACAATGAAAACGATCTCCATCCACACTAATCGTTTTCAGAACGCTTTGCATCCACGTTCCACGGCGTCTTCACATTTATCCACCTCAGCGATCGTTTTTGTAAAGCATCGTTTTCAGTTTCGGAATTCACCGTTCTAATGTGGACGGAAGGGCTAACCGGATTAACCGGATAAATATTACGGGCTTATGGGAACATATAAGACTGTGGGAAAATAGGGCCTAATTTTCAAAACATTCTTAGAAATGTGGGAACATAGAGCTGACCCCGTGGATGTTAACTAAAGAGCTTTATAATAAACAAACCAAATATAACATAACCAAATTACAACAATTAAACTCCCTGACTAAGAAAAACAGGAGAAAAGGGGATCAAAAGAAAATGGCAGTTCACCCTCTACTAACTCTGAAATACCACAAAGCTCAGGACAAAAGTTACTCAGATGTAGTTTCTCCACTGCACCATCTTGGTTCCTCATATTTGAGCCAATCGGCTGCAAGTTTCACCTCCTTGTCATACTAACTTTCAGGCCTTTAGAGAAAAAACACACACGTCCAAAACAACAATATGACCACAGTCACTGAAACACATTTCATCCAAATAAACACTAAAGTCTACAGACCCTTCAACATAACAGCCACATGTCACTCTCACACTGCTGACTGAAATATCTTCGTACGCTGTAACTTTAACGTTCCCCTGACGACCAGCTCCTGTGTCATGACGCTCCTCATGCACAGGTCTTGTGATGTCACTTCCTGTTGTGTTGCTGTGCAGAATATCATCACCCTGACTCATAAATATAGAAAGACCCTGTAGGACATGAGAAGTTCGTCTGTTAAACAAACCACTCCACACTTGTAGTTTAGTAGTTGTCCTGTCGTAACCACGGATACCTACATCTTAACCGCGTATGCCTATCTACTTTGACCTAACCAAAGCGCCCCCACTACAGCCCCCAGTTTGCATCTCTGAAACATAAAATAAACGCATGATTGTTCGTTAATAACTTTGTTTATTGACAAATAACATGGAATTAATGTTTAATAATGAATATATGCACAAAAACAAAGGTGCCACACAGATGAAATTCTTCCTGCAACCGTGACGTGGTCCAATGCAATTTTTATTTGTTTCACCTCACAGGTAAACACGTGCGTGCGTGCGTGCGTGCGTGCATGCGTGCGTGCGTGCGTGTGAGGTCACGGCGGCACACACACATCCAATCAGGCAGAATGAGTGAAAACACAGCTGTGGGTGGACCGTGCCTCTGTAGGAACCTCAACACAGATTCATGCACAGACAAACTTAAAGACTTCCACACATACTGCAGAAGCACTAATGCATGAGGAACACAACAGCACACACACACACACACACACACACTCATACAGAGGGCTTTAATGTGCCGTTGGCTGGGTGTGGTGCCCTGACGGAGTTCATGAATTAACTGAACTCTTGAACTGTACTCTGGTATGTGGCAGACAGTCAGTCAGACAACCAGTCAGTCAAACTGCACAGCAAAAATCTGTCTTAACAAGTATGGCAGCATACGAGTCCTAAGATCTGACTCTGGAGGATGAAACGTTTCAGCTGATGTTTCGGCGGCTGATCTGCAGTTTGACGGAGGTTTGATAGAGAAGCTTCATTCTGGAAATCGCAGAAAATATTGAATGGTTCCTGGCAAAGAAAAGACAATCACTGACATCTGGTCATCAGTCAGTGTGTTAAATAATCAATCAGTATGACAACCAGTAAATCTCATATCCTCCTCCTCCATCTTTACTCTGTCTTTGTCCCCGCGCTCATCACTCTATTTTATCCCCTTAAAGCTCCACATTTTCTTCTTCTTCTGTGTTTTATTTTGAAGTGTTGATGCATGAAAAGATATATCTGCAGTTTTAAGACCCAAAAAGCATCTCAGTGTAGATTTACATCTCCTCTCAAGGTGTTATGTGTCGATTTCTGAGCCTCTCTCCTGATTGGCTGACTGTTTTCTGAGTTAACCACAGGTAACAATTTATTACTTTAGCCACTGGTCTCTAATATTATTATCTCTGGAAGGCTGTGCAATGATATGTTGGGCTCCTAACATCCAAAGATTGTGCAACGTTTCCTTAGCGACGGAATGACGGCTTGGTGTTGTGTTGCTAATAAAGTGCTAATAATAAAGGTCGAACGGTGGATTCAGGTGGGCCGTCCTAGCGGTCTGTGACTGTTTTGTTGCCCTCTGAGCGGCGATACTTCCTGTGGGCGCTACAGTGACTCGGTATCGGAAAGTGTCAAAATGGCCCAACCTGGCTGGAGCTAGCTGGTTAGCATGCTAACTTCACTAGATGAAAATAAGTGATAGAAATAGAAACAAAAACAAAAGGCTGCTTCCCACCTCTGGTGAGTGAAACAGTAAAAAGTTTGATGCTGAACGTTGAATGTTTCGTTCGGACTTGTAAGTGAACAGCTGTTAATGCTAACATTAGCTATGTAGCAATAGCAAATGTTATGACTGTTGGCAGGTGTTTATACTGGAAAGCGCTACGCGTCGGTCCACCACCACTCACGTCTGGACGCCGCGAATGATCCACATCTAATGGTGAAAATGTCTTCCTGGTTCCAGATGGAAGAGGTGGAGTTAACAGGCCTCCATCACGTGGTTGTGTGCATGAAAAATGACAGGAAGAGGAAGTTGTGTGAAGACTGAAATAATAAAAACTTCAGAGGGAAGTTCAGACCTTCACACCTCTGCACACCTGGACCAAGCCCATTCAGATTCCTGGAGTTTCAGATGCTGTTAGCACTTTAACTGAGGCGTTCAGCTTCATACTGTGATCCCAAAAATACTCCGTCTTCATATTATTTTTAGAAATGTTTTTTTTCCCCAACAACAAAGATTTCTCATCAGCTGGTTTGAGGCTGTTGGTAATCTCTGTGGGTAAAATCAAAAAGCAAGTACAGACAAGCGAAGGTCAATGAACTCCTGAAATGTGAATTTAAATGTTTGGCAGACAACTTAGTCCGTGTAAACATGTTGGAGCCGAATCCGGGAAGGTCAGAGGTCACGGTCAGCCTCAGGGGAGTCAGTCGTGGTCAAGGACACTGCAGCAGGGCAGACAGGGATTTGAACTTGTGACCCTGAGGCTGAAGGTTCAGACTCTCTGCCACACTGTCTGTCTGTCTGTCTATCTGTCTCTCTCTGTCTGTCTCTCTCTCTGTCTGTCTGTCTCTCCCTGTCTGTTTCTGTCTGTCTGTTTGTCTCTCTCTCTGTCCGTCTGTCTCTCCCTGTCTGTTTCTGTCTGTCTGTTTGTCTCTCTCTCTGTCCGTCTGTCTCTCCCTGTCTGTTTCTGTCTGTCTGTTTGTCTCTCTCTCTGTCCGTCTGTCTCTCCCTGTCTGTTTCTGTCTGTCTGTTTGTCTCTCTCTCTGTCCGTCTGTCTCTCCCTGTCTGTTTCTGTCTGTCTGTCTCTCCCTGTCTGTTTCTGTCTGTCTCTCTCTGTCTGTTTGTCTCTCTCTCTGTCTGTGTCTCTCTGTCTGTTTGTCTTTCTGTCTCTCTGTCTGTCTGTCTGTTTCTCTCTCTCTCTCTGTCCTTCTGTCTCTCTCTGTCTGTCTGTCTCTCTCTCTCTATGTCTCTCTGTCTGTCTGGCTGTTTCTCTCTCTCTCTCTGTCCTTCTGTCTCTCTCTGTCTGTCTGTCTCTCTCTCTCTATGTCTCTCTGTCTGTCTGGCTGTTTCTCTCTCTCTCTCTGTCCTTCTGTCTCTCTCTGTCTGTCTGTCTCTCTCTCTCTATGTCTCTCTGTCTGTCTGGCTGTTTCTCTCTCTCTCTCTGTCCTTCTGTCTCTCTCTGTCTGTCTGTCTCTCTCTGTCTGTCTCTGTCTGTCTCTCTCTCTCTCTCTCTCTCTGTCTCTCTGTCTCTCTCTGTCCTTCTGTCTCTGTCTGTCTGTCTGTCTCTCTCTCTCTATGTCTCTCTGTCTGTCTGTCTGTTTCTCTCTCTCTCTCTGTCCTTCTGTCTCTCTCTGTCTGTCTGACTCTGTCTGTCTGTCTCTCTCTGTCTGTCTCTGTCTGTCTCTCTCTCTCTGTCCTTCTGTCTCTCTCTGTCTGTCTGTCTCTCTCTGTCTGTCTCTCTCTCTCTCTCTGTCCTTCTCTCTCTCTCTGTCCTTCTGTCTCTGTCTGTCTGTCTCTCTCTGTCTGTCTGTCTCTCTGTCTGTCTGTCTCTCTCCTCTGAACTCTGCAGGCGGTTTTCAGCTCCTCAGGCTGACGGCTGGAATGCTGACATAACAGATGTTGTCTGACAAAGGCAATAATTATCTGCTGTACGGCTGTATGTCCATACCCGCTCTTCCTCCTCCCCCCTCCCTCTC